TTCCAATGTTTTTCATGTTTTTACCTGTCACACGTGTGACATGTATATAATATAGGTATATATAAACACACCCGTAGTCGAATGCAATGTTGTGTCAAAATTTGAAAGCAATCGGTGAAGAACTTTCAGAGATGTGCGGTTATGTACAAACAGACATTTAGATTTTTATTTATATAGATTGTGCGTTATATGTGACTGGGAGCTAAATAAGTTAATTGGCAGCAAAAAGATGTTAAGTCACCTATGGTGTTTTTTTTAAGTGGAAGTTTGTTTTGATTGGCTATTGCCAATGTAAAGAGATGTACATTCCATTGATATTTATGAGTTTGGGCTGCCTGTATTATTTTAGGATTTGTTCAAAGACTTACTACTGATTGCTTCATACTCTGCTTGTTTGGGATAGGCTTATTTGGGCATGCTGCCTTCTTTTTTCTTTCCAAATTTTTCCTTTGGCTGTATTATTTTGAAAGCATGCCCAGAATTCCTTTGACCAAGAGACCCATAAATTATAAATAGCTATTACCTACATTTCTATTTAGTTTGAAAGGCTAGAAGAATATGTATAATAAATTAACATGCAGCCCACGTGTGACCAAAAGCAGCAGAACGAATGGTGTAATATAAGCATGATATAATCTTGCAGAAAGACTCAAAGTTCAAGTTGGCCAAATTGGACAATTATTGTCACAATGAACTGCACATTCCAAAAGACTTCAGGTCTTTCGGTACATTGACACATTTCAGATGATGTTGCAATAGAAGGACATTTCTTTACCTGGCAGCACTGCTTATATAAGAGAAACATCTTTCATGTAGCAATGCTTGCTTTCATCAGATGCTGTTATCCTTCCCCCTTTTAAATTTGAGCTCTAAACTCTGCAGTCTCCACTTCTGTAACACCGGAAAACATGTATTTTCTTTACAGTAACATATTTTAAATCCTGCTTTTAAGCACAGCAACATGCCTTGTCCTTAGCCAAAACATGACTTTGTCCAGTGGTGCCTTAATGCTGATTGGCAGGAGCTTTCCAAGAATAAAGACAAGTGACATTGTGAATGCTACTTGAAGTTCCCAGGAAACTGAACCTGGGATTCTCTGCATATGAAGTATTTAGTTCTGCCATTGAAAGTAGCTTTTCATAAAACTGTAGAACCAGAGTAGGATACCACTGGCATGGGATATGATTACTGTGGGGTTTTTATTTTTGCTTCTAGGAAAACCCAAACCCAAAACATAGCAGCTGAAGTCAGGCTCTCCATTACATGTAGTTCGTATGTTTACTTGGTAGCTTTAATTTTAAGATGTGTGGCGAAAGAATTTTAAAAGGATGATTTAAAGAGTAACAGAAAAAATAAAAATGAATGTGTTCAGCTTCCATTTAATTTCATTCCCTGTAATTTAATTTCATTCCCTGTAGTTACCTTGAGATAAGGTGGGCGGCCTATACATTTTATAAATAAATAAATAATTTGGTGTAGTGGTTAAGGCATTAGCTAGAAACTGGGAGACTGTGAGTTCTAGTCCCACAAAGCCAGCTGGGGAATCTTGGCCAGTCGCTCTCTCTCTCAGCCCTAGGAAGAAGTCAATGGCAAGCCACTTCTGAAATCTTACCAAGAAAATTGAAAGGACTTGTCCAGGAATCAAGACTAACTTGAAGGGAAACACACAAACATAATTGGGAAAAGGTGGATTATACTAGCTATAAGGGAGACAATCTTGCAGTTAAACATTATACCAAACCTCTGGTAGCCAATTTTTTCCCCCCTTGTCAAATGCTTTTTGAAACAACAACAAAAAACCAGATATAGAATGCCTCCTGAAATATAGTAAAACATGGCTGGCACAGGGTGGACAAATTGTAGGGGGTCAATGTTTATGCTATCTTTTGATACAGGTGATGACACATATACGAGGACATATATGAGGACATATATGAGGACCCAGTTTGTGGGGGCAATAAGCTGACTTTGTATAAATATACAAAAGTATGAAGGCTATTGCTTAACGCATTGTAAGCCACCCTGAGTCTCCGGAGAAGGGAGGCATATAAATCAAATTTATATATATATATATATATATATATACGTAGAACCAAATTGGAAATTGCAATCCTATTGAATAGGAATCCGATTCATTCTCAGTTGGCAGTTAGCCACTGTTATCAACATCTTTTCCAATATTATCCTTCCCAAACTGCTTTACAAGCATAATTCTCAGACAGGGAGAATACAACAGATCAAGTCTACAAGCAGGTATAAAATAACTATTTGGAAACTTACAATATAGTTCACTGCATTTATTTAAAAAGCCCATAAGAGGAAAAATGAATGAAATGTAAAGATAAATAATATTCAGCATTCTGAAAATATTCATATGGTATTTTAATATTTTCTCTGACTTCCAATACTAATGTTTCCTATGATCATGATTACAATCTGAATTCAAAACATACTGCCAACTTATTTGCTTCTTACTTTATTGCCATATTTAAAAATATATTTACTTTCAATGTTTGAGCCTTTAAAAAACCAGGCCTGCATCTTCTACAGGTTAGATGCCTAATATATTTTTCTGCGTGCAAGGATGAAGGATGTAACTGTAAGACTGTTTGGCTCAAGGGCATATTGGCTTAAGGTCAAGAGTATCTTATTCTTTCCCTTCACACAAGCTTTTGGTTTAAAAGAAAGTTGCCAAACCCATGGCTATATTTATAACTTAGCAACTCCACACTAAATAGGAAGTTCTCTTTCATTCTCTTGGCAACTCTGACTGTCACATGGCATAAGCAATCCAATTGGAGAGTACCTTTGAACAAATTTAGTCTAGCAAACCCAAGATAGCCTTGGTTTTAGTTAAAAATACCTCTTCTGGTATTTAATTGTGTGGGATAATAAAAAGTAGTCAGTATTCCCAAGTTCTATTTATGCCTTGGATAGCCACTCAAAGATGGATGATTTTAGAATTATTATTAAATATGATCCAAACTGGCCAATAAGACATGTATGTATCTGACCTAAGAAAATTTCCTTCCTTCCTTATTTCCACCTTCTTGCTATACTGTAATCTGTTAAAGTAATGAAGAAATTGATGGCTTCACAATTAGCAATTAAAAGTATGTTCCCTTTATAATTACTACAGCAAATCTCCAAAAATCTCCAATTTCTGGTCCTTTGTTGCAAGCAGACTATTTTTAGATGCAACAGGAAAATGCAAGTGCATTAAAATTCTAATTTGACAAAGAATGTGTACCCTCGCAACTTCAACAGCAGGATCATCGTATTAGTCTCGAACATGGCAACAGGAAAAGACACATGGGCCTCTGTTCCTCATGAAAAAGTGGTAAACAAAGAACTTTTGATATTTAAGAGAGAGAAAGACGATTCTCTAAAATAGAAGCACTGTTAAATTATGGCACTGTGGCAGACATCTCAACCTTATAATGACCTCTCATCTTGTTCTGCCCTACAGCAAAACTCTTATTACTCCACATTTAAGACAGAAGGAATGCACATCTGCAGTGAGGTCTAAACTCAAATTTGTCACCAAAGGAACCAGAGTTCTGTATACAATTATATTTTTATTTACCAATACTCAACTACAGCAATTTTTAATTTTTTTTTATTATACTTCCAAGCAATATATTACAATACATATTTTGAAAAAAAAAGCAGCCTCATTTTCTAACCATTTAATCTTATCAAGTCACCAAATTTCTTTCTGGCAAAATGAGTGATATTTGTGGGAGCCCTGCATTTAAGAAGCACTCATTTCACAGACATTGAAATTTACATTGTTCTAAAACTATGCGTGGGTGGGGGAATGGAAATAGCTTTGCCTTAAGAAGCCAGAAGAGGGCACTCATTAGTAGTCAATCAATTTCCATTCAAAATCTTGTAATGGAAAAAAAGTCAAGAATCTTGAATAGATATTCCCAAAATGAAACAGGATTGGAGTAACTTGAATTCCAGAATCAAGATAAGTAACATTTTCCAAGTTTTATAACAGTGGGAGGCACTAATAAGGAAAACTGTAAACTGCTGTATTCTACATGTTATGGCCACAGAAATAAACCCATTTTAAAGCACCATACTAAAGTCTATAAACTATAAAATATTTTACATTGTCAAGCCCAAAACAACAGTCACAGTACTTAAAATTTTCCTTTGAAAAAGTCAAATATGGGAGCAATTATATCAGTAGACACAGAAGGTTTTTTTTCACTTGAATGAGAGTGTGAATCTTGGTAATAAACTAAAACATTTAAAAAAAAACATATTTTAGTCAGCTGTATTGTGGCAAATCACTGCTGAGCTAAAATCCTTTTCCTTGGTAGGAAGGGAAGGTGAGAAACATTTGGGACTGTTTGTATAATATGAAAAATGCCACTAAAGCAAAAATTGGCAATAGTATGTAGTTTAGATCTACCTTTCTTTGTTTAGGCAGATGACTTAGGTAATTTTTTTGGTTACGTGTGCACGCTTTGTTCTCTAAGGTTATATTTCCCCCAAGAATCCTTTATGTACATTAAATACTGTTTTTGTACACTTGACTTAGGTTGCCAGAAAGTCAAGATAGGGTAAAAATATAAAGTAAAACCATTTTGCCCTTGTATAAAGTGGAAAGAAAACGATCCACTTATTAAAAATTTCTGAAGCATTTTCTGTAATAACACCAAAAACTTCTACACATTGACATAAATACTTGCATGTGACAATTTCCAAGAAAAGTTCTGAATCAGCTCTTTTATTTATCTGTTGTACTTCCTTATAAGAATCTGCATAACTACACATAAAAAGGTTTCCTTTTTAAAAAAAGACTGCCTAAATGTAAGGAAAGCTCAACATTGAGAAGGTACTTGTGGATAGGATTTTCAAGGAATAACCTAATTCTGGTCTTAATAACATTATATAAAGTTATTTTAGGACTGGCCTCATGCTAACTCTCTGTTGTGGAGTCTGTAACCATTTTAATAAGGTACATAAAACATCCTTCTGTTTACCTGCACTGGTGCCTGCACCGGTTGTGAGGTCCCCACCCATCAGGCCACCTAGGAGAGGACAAATAAAATAGTCAAACTGAGAGAGGAGCTGAAGAAACCACAAAGGTCAAGCAGCAATTACAGTTTATTCCTCAAAGTAATGTGAGCCCTAGAGGAGTTTCTGGTGAGCCCACCAGAATTTTCATAAAGATCAGGCTGTTTGAGCCACCCTGACTCCCGTCTGTGTACAAAACGATCTAATTCCTCCTTCAAAGCATAAGCATTATTTAGTGGCTTCAGTGGGTAATAGCTCAGTATAATATTGAGTGAATTTATAGTGAATAAACTATTATAATACATTGTCAACTAATGAACTATTGTAATAATTGTCAATTTCTGTGATGTCATTGTATACAGCCATTAATATTTCACAGATTTTTTTCCATCTCCTTTCCCAACTTTGTGACCCTCAATTGTCTCTTCCACCCTGATTTGGAAATTCTGAGAAATGCAGACACATGGGTAAGAGATTGGAGGAAAAGTAGCTTAATTTCTACTTAAATGGAATTTCTCACCGCTGTGTTAACACAGCATTTGGCCAGTAAAATTATTTAGATTCTCTTGAATCTTGATGCCACGTGGGCAAGGTCTATAAAAACCTTTTATGGTTTGGCACCAACCTACCATCAGGACCATGTTCATCTATTAGAAAGAATCAGCTTGTCCTATTCAATCTTTCTGAGGAAAGCACCAGGTGATTCCCTACTTTGGGGAGTAGAGGGGAGATGAAATGCAGGAATACTGCATTTTTGTATCAACACCAGCTTCTGGAGTCACCTCCCTCTGGAACCTAGATGGAGTTCCTCCAGAGGACAATTAGGACTGTTTTGGGGGTTTTCTGGTTGTTAGGTTTCAGGCTTTATATAACATTAATTGGACCACAAATGTTTTAATGATTTTTTGCATTCTGCAAAGCTGTAAAGAGTTCTATGAGATTGAGGTGGGGTATAAATGTAACATAAATAAATGCAGCCTTGAGATGGAAATGTATGTGTCTCTGAGTGTATAATGATAAAGCACAATATTTCAGAAGCTGCATTTGGTCATTTTCCTCCAGATTCAAATGACCTAGACTCTCTTCAGTTCTGTTTCCAATTTCCTCTCCTAGCTTTTAATATTATTATATAAAAGTAGGCTTTTTGAATTTTATGACTAGAGTAAAAACTAACAGCCTCACTTTCTAAGACAGTTTTAACTGAGATTTAACAAAAGAGAAAATGGATTAAGATCAGAAATCAGAAGATGTGGCCTACTGGGAATCTTTCTACTACTTTCCTCCTGAACATGTATGCTTTTCAACTGGAGTTGCATAATAGTGTCCAGGAGATTAAATCCACTAATTTTTATGTTTCAAATATAGTCTTCTTACGTTACCTACTTCTGGTTTCTACAGTATTTAGAGCCTTTTAAAACATATTTTATTTAGTTGTAAATACTAAGGCTGGATTACCTCTGGAAAGCCCAGCATTTTAGGATATGGAGTTATTATCGCTTTAAAAGCAATGAGAGAGAAGAGTTGATATCTTAAAAGAATTCTGCCAAAATTACTCTGGGTATGGATTGTGGGATCAATCTCTCCACAATTGAAGAACCCATGGCAGGATACATCTTAGCCACCAATGAAATCAACATACACATACATTCAGAGAATAAACATATGACACACAAAGAAATCCTACTCTACAAAAGTAATCAGAAGATATGTGTCTACCAAGAACTTGGTGCTGCTATAAGTTTATTAAGCTTGCTCAATTTTTGAAAAGGCTGGATAAGAATCCATGGTAGATTTGGTTTTTTGTTTTTTACAAAAAGTGTGTGACTTTCATATTGGCAAGTAGTCAATAGACTTTTGGAGAATCCTGACATATTCTTGCTTTGAAAGTAACAATCTGTAGATATAGAAATGTTATATTTGAAGCAAAGAGATGGAACTAGGCAAAACTTACCTGTGTTACCTGCACTTGGTGGTCTGTGTGTCACCCCAGGAGACATGCTATTCCGCTGTAAGGAAGGGTGGGCCAGAGGCAAAAGGTTGGGGTTACCCAGTGAGCTAACTGGGTTGCTGTATACCAAGCTGTTGTGGTTGGACACTGGGATAGAAACTGGCATCTCAAAGTTAGGTGGTGGAACAGCCTATAATAACAATAATAAAAAAGGGAAACAAAAGACGAGAGTAATATAGAGGTACAAGATATTCATACAATATATTATTCTATACTAAGATCAAATGTTTTATAAATTCTGGTTAGAAAAAAGCAGAAAGGAGTTAGGAACATAAATTGTCATCACTGCAAAAATTAATCCCTCACAATGGATGAATTTTAAAATATGTCTTCTCTACCCTGTTTTGCTACAATTTCCACATTTCCTTTGTATTAAAGGATGCCTGATTGGGTGTTTCCTGCCCCACTTATTTTTCACAAGCCTTGTTTCATTAAGGTTTTTTCCAGTCATTGAAATCAATATTATTTAGTAGTGGCATTCTAATATGGTGTTGCAGATGATAAGAGATTATAGATAAATGAATATGAATTGTAAATTATTCAGTGAAAAGCAAACTGGCTGAACATTGGTTTCTTCATAATTGATCATCTCAGTTGGTTTTTATGAATATATCGGTACCAAGACCAATAGTGTTTATCTTATAAACTGAAATAAATAGATGTAACTTGGTAGCTGATTCCCTGAATGGATTTCTGTTCACACAGTGTTCTTATTCTTGGAATTCATAGAGAGAAGAATCTGATTTTCACCAATCCTTCATCAACAGGAATTCCATTAATTCCTATTCTTTCTTTTCCTGCAAAAAAATGGTTTAAAAAGTTACAGAATTCTCCAAAAAATTAGGACAGGTGGTCTGCAGAGAATGTGTGTGTGTGTGTGTGAGTGAGTGTCAAAAAGTCAATTTTGACTGAAACCCTCCTCTGACTTTTTCAACCCTTCCCACTACAAATGACCCTAGTTAGGGTGTTGCACAGGAGGAGGGATATTACTTCTTCTTACCTTTTGACCTTCCTGGGTCAAAAGTCTTTCTGCAAACATTTAATAAAACCAAAAACAACCTGACTGGAACCATTGCTTCTGTGCAATGCCGGCTTATGCAAATGTTTGCAATTTGTCATTATTAATGCAGATGAAAAAAGTTTTTTATTTGGTAAACCAGAACACTTAATCAGACAGCATATCAAACAGCATTGCAGAATTGTTCATAACTGTATTTATACATTATATTTGGATTTTGAATATTTCTTAATATAGGCAGAAGCAACCCTGTTGAAACAATTACTAGGAAACACATTGTGCAGCCTGCAGTCCAATAGCATGATGAAATTGTGGGATGAGATTCACCTCTGGCATACCTTCCAGTTATTTAATTTTTAAATAAAAGAGCCATTCTGAAAATCCACTAAAATTACAATTTCTTTAGTAATATTTCATAGCATTCTTTAGGTTCTTTTGGTCTTTAGTTATTTAATACTATTCGTTCACAATTAACTCCTTACTTTCTTCTGTGCTATTGAGTATAATGTAACTAAATGGAAATGAATATCAACAAGGAAAGAAAAAAAGGATGAAAAGGCTTAATACTCCCAGCCTTTGTGATTCTATTTTTCAAGCCTTTACATTACCCCATACAAGATTAGGAAGAGAACAAGAGCTTTTCAAATAAAATATATTTATATAGCTTGTATTATCAGCCTCTAAAGAAAGTAAATTGCTGAAAACTTTCCAGAGTTTGTGAAATCTAAGATAACAAAAAATAGAAACTCTTAGTAACAACCAACAATGCAAATCACTTACTGATAATGCTTTAATCACACAGAGGATAATTTCTCCTCATGAATTGTTTCTCATGTATTTTATAGAAACTAGCCTAACAATTTCTTTTAATCAGCTACTACCAGATCAATAGTCCAATAGAGGTGATTGGTAGTTGACCCAAGGTCAATAATATCTTTTCAATTGAATTCAATTCAATTGACTCAGATTACAATTTAAAGCCATTAAACAAAATCCTACTATGTTCCATCTCTATTTTAAAGACAACACTATTACACTACAGTATTTGATCTGGAACAAAGCCTAAGGAAAGTATAATGTGGAAACTACTTGACACCATCTCTTCATGCAGCAGCTATAATTTCTGGAATTTGCTTGCAACTTCTTGATTTCTGATAATGTCAGGTAAACTATCAAGCTGAACATGTTAGCTCCAATTTACAGTACATGCTAATATGATAGTATTATAGGGAAAATAACTGCTTCTGTAAGAAGATACCATGGTCCACTGATAGTAAGTTAAAAAAACCAATCACAGGACCCTGTGATCACATGGCACTTTACATTCTTTGGTACATATGAAGAATCTGTTAGGCTTTCGGCTGACAAATGCATTTTTGCAAGTTGTAGTACAATACAGAAAATAGGCATTCACAGTAACTAGTTGCAGGTATGGCTTTTACTCTCCTGTACATATCCCCTTTTTGTAATAAAATCACACAGTTCTTGAACAGTATACTTTCATGATCAAGATAATACTAAGCAGTGACTCTGAGTCTTATTCACCAGAAATTGTTTTCATTTCCGTTTTATGGATTGACTTTACTTGATTTGCCCATTTTAAAGTATTATCTACTTTATATTGATCATTATTGATATTGTATTTTATTATTGTTTCTGAGCTATACTTTTATAGCTCAGAACGTTACATCCTAATTTTGGAACAGAGAGATAAGTCCTTATTCAGTGCTGGATCTGTTTTGAAAATTACAAAAAGCAAGCTAGATAACAAAAACATCTATAGGATTTTTACTCTAGCTGAACTCTTGTGCATTTGCAAAAAAAAAAAAAGCTGCTGCAATATTTTTGAATTTGAGGTTTTTGTATTAAAACTAATTATTGTATTTTATGAATTTTAATCCCTCTGTGAAAATAAAGCACAAACTTGTAAAGACTATTTCATACAGATGAAAGTGAAAACAGTGCATACAAAAAGTCATAAACCTGTTAAAAACCATCTCTAATTATGAAGGAAAGTTTGAGAAAGTTCAAGGGTCTTTCACATTCTTTGCTATAGCTCTTTTTACAATGTCTGAAGATAATCTAAATATATTGAAAATCATTGTTTTGTGGCAAAGGAAGTTGTTTAAAAGCCTATCTTAACTTTCCTTTAGCCCAAATTGGAAAACAAATTTTAAAAACACTTCTGCGCTCTTGATGTATGTCTGCTTGAGGATGTTTTTCAACACATATACTACAGCAAAGGAAGAAGCATGAATTATGATGAAGGCTTAGTTTCTTAGGAAACATGTGCACCATATAATTTGAAATATCATACAATTATGTATCCAAGTATAGAAACACAATGGGTGAAATTCACTCTTTAGAGCTCAGAGCCCAAATGTTGGGGTTATGCAACAGGAACTTTTGGGAACTTGTGAGCTAGGAATAGAATCTATTATGTAGGGACTTTCAAGAACTCTCCTTCCAGCATAACTTTCTGGCACTCTTTAGGTCCTCCTGAAGCAGCACAAAATCTTAAAATACTTTCAGCCATATCTTCCATGTAGAAAACTTTAGCATACGAAGGGTACAAATTCAAGCAATCAAATAATGGAGAAATGCCCATCTAGGGGTTCAGAAAAAAAGAGCTACATGTAGGTAACAGCACACAGTGCATCTTTCAGAGGTCCAACTATAACAATATTTTGGGTTGGGTTCCAGGCTATCATAGAACAAGGTTGGAAGAGTTTTTAGAGATTAATTTTCTAGCTAGTGGAGGATCTACTAAAACATCTCTGACAGATCACCATTAAATCTCTTTTTGAAGACTTCTAACAAAGGAGAACTCACCAGATGGTAGTCTGTTTCACTATAAAAGTTTCCAGGTTTAATAGTTGCTGTTCAGTGTCAGCTGTTCATAATATTGCTTTCTGATTTCATTGTAATGCCTAGTTAATTTAATCTTGGCCCACCTAGCTACAACTGCAATAGGGATTGAGTGATTCTGAACAGAATAGGATAATGCCATTAGAAGGATTCCTTTCTTATAAGAAATGGACTGTACTTCTAGGTAGATTTGTGTATACATACTATAATGTCTTGTTGTTATTGCTGTTGTTTTTGAAGTAGATTTAGAAGCTTAAAACAAATTGTATTTTGAAAAAAGCTATAATTTATGTCATACAAAATATTGACAGCTGTTTCCACATGAATTTCTACCAAAGTGTCTGCAACAATTCAATTTCCAATTTGTTTCAAGCAAATTTTGAAGCAAATTGTTCTGACAGAAAGCCTAAAAGTTTCAAGAGACATCTATAGGGCTATCTGCTCTCATTCTCTCTCTCCTTTAGGATCAGCATAGAATATAATAGTTTCATAACTGTTTAACCTACTGTGTATACAGGGAAATTATGAAACTACTCTTCTGAAATGCTAATAAATTTATTTATTAATAATAAGTAAATGAGTTTCACAGGAGATATTGTGAATTATTCCCTACATTTTAAAATATTCTGCATTTAATGCTATGTGCCTTTGCAAACTAAAATGACTAAAATTGGGAGAATATAAATGTTACTTCTGGATCTGGCAAGGTATCTCTACAAATTGGTTGCAAATAGCATATATCAGATAATCAATTTCCCAGGAAATTGTTATGGTATTGTTATAGTAGAGAAACACTAAATTTGCCCATGAATAACTGCAATTTGTTGTGGCAATTCTGAATCCTACTTTTCACATTAAATAAACATATAAACAAGCTGATATTAAAGAGCAAACAGTTTCCTGAAAGCAAAGAGAAAAACCAGGCAGCTCTCTAGTAAATTTCATATGGAGAAGTTCATATGCATCTCTTTTGAGACTAATTATATCAATGGAAAACTCTTTGTTTTAATAATGTTATGCTCTACAAAAACAGATATGGTCCTTTAACTAATGTAGTACTTGCCATAACTGTCAAACTGCCAGACAAAGATAGCATATTCAATTTGCAGGAATCATGGAACCACATAAGAGATCAACTGTGACTTTGTAGATGTTTTTTTAAAAATTATTCAAATACTGATAATTTTGGGAAATACACTTCCAACATATATTCAAATAATTTATTCCAAAATTATATGCACTAG